GAGGGCAGGTGGCCGGCGGGGGACGGCGGTACTCCTTCCCCTGGGGGGGAGCGGCGGCGCGGGGCGCACGGAGGGGCAACCTGAGGAGGGGGCAAGTTGCTGCGGGAGCGAGCCGGGCACGGCGTGGGGCCGGGGGAGCCGCCGGGGCGAGGGGGCTGCGGCCGTGCCGATGGCTGCGGCGGGGGAACGCGGGACCGTCCTGTCTCCCGTTGCGGTCGGTGTGTGGCGGGGGTGTCCGTCCGGGACGGGTGAGGGGACCGGGGCCCACGGTGGTGGTGGTGGACACGGACGAAGACTCCCGGTCCCCTCACCCGGAGAGGCGTCGGGGTGCGGGAGAGCGGGGGGCGGAGGGGAGGGTGTGGGTGTTGGGGCTGCCGGTGGGGTCTGCGGTTGGAGGCGAAGAGTCGCGCCATGTCGCGGGGAAGGGCCGGGGCGGTGGTAATGCCGTGGGGAGGCTCGTACCCTCCGGGATCCAGCCCACGGGTGAACCGAGCTGGAGGGCCTTCACCCGGAGGTACTGTCAGGGCTGGGAGCCGGGCGCTGTGCGAGGGGCTGCCGGGGCAGTCGGAGATGCTTAGTTTCCTGAACGGGAGGAACTTTCCCGGCGTGAAAACCCCCGAGCGATAAGAAGCGCCGTGTTTTCCGTGCCCCCGTGGCAGGGCTTCAATCTGAACTGTTTGTTTACCTTGAACTCCGGGCCGCAGGGAAGGCGGCGCGGCTGCTCGCCCTGAGAGACACCGGGCGGTGTGAGTGCGGCGGCGCCGGTGGCCGGTGGCCTGGCTCTGCCCGGGCTCTGCCCTGCGTGCATCCCCGGCTGGCGACAAAAAAAACGTTAAAGGACGATCTCAGTGGCTCCAGAGAAGGGCGGCCGGAGGGTTTCTTGTCAAAGGCTGTTTTGTTAAAAGTCGGAAATCATTTACAAAATTTCTCTTTTTGGAGCGCTGCTTTGATTTCTGTGTCTTACTGTTGTGCCCTCAGCCTGAAGTTATGCACATCAGTGTTTTCTTGGGGTGGTTTTCTTAAAAAAAAAAAATGTTTAAGAAAGCAAAAAAGCCTTCTAGTTAACATACTTGTGATATAAAACTTTCAGTTGTTCAGGTACGCATGATTCCTGTTTTTTCATATGAAACAGGTACTCTGAACCTGATGAAAATCGTCAGGTTCTGTCTTCTGATTTAAAAGCCAGAATATTAATGGCACACAGAGCACAGTGTGTGTGTATATATTAGTAAAACTATGTACTGCGTTTCTAGTCCAACGCTTGAGATAGTCTGTGTGGGGTGTTTTTTTTCCATTTACATGCCAAGCAATTAATTATGAAAGTAGTGAGTAAGGGGAAAATATTTCCTTTTGTTTATATTTAGAGTTAAATTTTTAAATTTATCAGCTGCGAAGACGAATCTTAATTTCTTGTTTACACGAAACACAAATGGGAGAAATACGTATTTTCTTGACTTATAAGTTGTTTTTTTAACATCGAGTACTTTTCAGCTCATGAATTACCCCAAAGTGTACACTTTGCCAGCCATTCTTTAGTGAAACTAAAGAAACAAGCATGTCAATAAGGTTGAAAAAAGGTTCAATGAAAAAAAAAATATCTTATTCCATATATCTTTATTTCTTGCTTGTGAAACTTTGGCACAAGAAAAGGTTTTGCATATCTGTTTCCCCAGACAAGTTAATGTTTTCAGTAGTGCTATTCTGTATGTTAATACTTGTTATTTTGCTTACTACTTGAGCTCAGGTCTGTGCTAGGAACACAGGAGGGCTTGATCTCTGAAGTGCTGGTCAACTAATTCACAGTTTCTTTGTCTGTGTGCACAGAACTGAACCTCGGGAGAGAAGAATGCAGGAACTAGTGCTGAATAACTTTCTTTAGGGAATTTTAACGTTGGAACATTTGCCAGTACTACTTTATTCCAGCTGCAGCTTTCTAGTAAGCGTGGGAATAAGTATGCAGTATTTTTTAGCCTCCTTTCACCGTTATCTGTTACTTCACTCCTGTCTTTTCCCCGAGCTATTCTATCTTGCCGTATCTTGGTTCTAAGGTAAAGTTTTTAAATTTTGTGACAATGTAGTTTCAGTACTTTAGTGCTCCACGTCTTAAAACATTCATGCTGTCAGTGTTCTGCTTGGCATTCAGCTGAAGTTTTCTTGATCTCAGTTTTGTACTTTTGGCTTTTCACAGTCTGTTTGGATATTTCTGTCTTTTTGACCAAACTCTGCATTTTGATTTCTTCACATTTTCTTCAAAGAAAGACTTCTCCCATGCCAAGATGTTTCCTCCCCCTCCCCCCTTCTACCCCCATCTCCTTTTTCCACACATCGACGTAGGTGGGAAAAATGTCATGCTGGCTTGGTTGCTGGTGGGGGAGCTGAGGTTTTAGCTTTTTTTCTCTTCAAGGCGCTGATCTTGCGCTTTCGTAGAATCGTGTTGCTTTTGCATGAAGAGCTTGATTGTGCAACCCCTGGTTTACACAGTGGTCGTCCTGAAATCAGTGGACTGCTTTTGTCCTCAGCCCAATATCTGCTTACATTGAGGCGTGTAAGTAGTTTCACTCTAGATAATATTTTTAAAATGGAGAAAAACAAATTTTCTCACCACATAATATTAACAAGAAGGGAAAAAAAAAAGGGCACAGTCTTTACAAAGTGACTTTGACAAAACCAGCAAGGGTTGACCTCTCAGACTCCTCTGACTGGCAGCATTGCTGTATGTGACAGTCCTGTGGGAAGGCAGGGTTTAGTGTCAATTTCTGGCCTGCTGGAAAGGTCTGTTACTAATACGTGATGCAGGAGAATGTTTCTGTTAGCCCCAAAACACAAAGATGAGTCTTGTCACTTAAAATCCTGTCTACCATATTTAATTGTTGCAGCGCATTTTACATATGTATTACTTCAGTATTCCAGGAAGAATTAACAGTTTTACTCTGAAATTTATGTGAATTTTATCAGTGTTCAAAAAACAGCTATGTGGAAAACAGGTTGTCAGAGTAGGAGAAGACATGGGATAACGTAAGTTGTCTTACTTGTAAATATGGTATAAAAGCTAATTTAGTATGCACGACTGTTTGTAAAAGAATCTCATTAGCAGCCTATGAATAGATTACCTTTTAGAAGGAATGTTATGGATGCTAGCAAGCTGAAAAAGTTCAGCAAGCCATTATTTTTGTGATCTGTTGACCACAGCACGCAGGGGATCTCGACCTCCTGTAATACACTATGGCTGGTACTTAATCTGGGAATTACTGAATGGGTACCCAGAGGTCACGGCGCCTGAAATTCTTCAGCGCAGTGACTACGAACTGGAGACAACTCTGAAATAAATTGAATGAGAATGATTAATATGGGTGTGTAAAACTGTGTACAGTTACTAGTTTCACTACAGTTGTCTCAACCTTTTCTGTGTTGCAGAGTAAGATGTACACAACACGTGCAGTGCTGGGTTCTGGCTATGTGATTAAAGAATTATTAAAGCTCTTATGCTTGTATCTGTAACATTTTTAAAAGGCACTAGCCGTGGGCCAGTTAAACAATCAAAGCCGGTTTTTGTTAAATCTTTTAAGTACAGTTATATCTAAGTACTAGATAAAAAATAAAGCTGTTTTCCTATCCAGCTGCAACTTCTTACCTTTTTCCCTTTTTTAGTGGTGTCATGTCATTGTATGTTAGGGTTCCCTCAATCTAATGCTTATACTGACGTATAAGCATTATAGTCTGTTCTAAATTGAGTAACCTATTCTTGTGTATTTCAGAACTCTAAAACTGAATAAATATTAGCATATTCAAGGATAATAGCTGAAATACAATATTTTGGGTTCTATCCAGAGTTGTCTAAATCACTCAGTATTTTTGTAGCATGGTTTACTTATCTGTAAAGCATAAAGTCCTGGACCTTGATGTTTTGCAGTCTTAGGCCACTTCCACAGTATGCTTGTATTTGTAATACCATAACTTGTCTCGCTTGGCATAGCCTGGATATTTGACAAACCCTTGTTGGTACTCAGATGAGGTAATAATTTCATCTGGCACGTACTGCGTGTAATCACAGAATCACAGATAATGTTCTATTTAGCCCTTCTGGTCGGTGACATCGTGGGCATGAACATCCCAGATCAAATATAATCACTTCCTGACACAACATTTTTCTCTAGATGCTATCTCTCAACTAGGCATAGTCGAAGGAAAGATGGTAGAACTTAATAATGAATGAATGACTGTCTCTTTAATTTTAGTTAGTCAGAGCCTGCCTGTTCGGTTTAGGTAAATGCACCTAATGGGAAAAAGCAAATACAGCAGCTTTGAACAAACAAATGCTACCACATAAACTTATTAAAGAAGGTAAGCCAGTGATAGCCAAAGTGATTTTTTTGAAGCTACATATTAGGAAGATATGTTCAAAATGCAGGTTTTTATAAAGTTTGCAGCAACTGAGGTAAATATATAATGGTGTTTTGTCTTATGAAGAAATCAAGTTCTGCTTTTCTGAGTCACTCTTTTTCTTTCAGAGATTTTAGGATGACATGTTAAAATGTACTTATTGAAGATGTATTATAGAAAGCAGTAATATAATGGTCTTGCCTGAGCACAAAGGTGCAGTGATTTAATTAAAGGTGTGGTTTAATTAAGGGTTTGAGTTTTATAAAGCCTTGTTTGTCGGAACTGTTGGCACTGTGTAAACATAATAAATTTAAGTGAACTTTGCACTTGTGCACCTGTATGTTTAGGGATAGAATTAATAGAAGCATTTTAGAATCATAGAATGATTTAGGTTGGAAGGGACCTTAAAGATCACCTAGTTCCAACCCCCCTGCCATGGGCAGGGACACCTCCCACTAGACCAGGTTGCTCAAAACCCCATCCAGCCTGGCCTTGAACCCTTCCAGGGATGGGGCAGCCACAGTTTTTCTGGGCAGTCTGCCTCATTTTAAGTTGTGTTTGTATCCAAACTTCGTAACACGTCTTTAAACTAAGTCTTTAAACTAAATCAGCACTCCTTTGTAAAAAACAGGCCTAATCTAAGCGCAGCCAGTATGCTTCAGTCCTGAGCCAGAAGGTACTGGGAATATAAACAGCAATAATCGCACCATTTAGTCTGAACATCAAACTGCTGTTGATAATGTTGATAAAGTTGACTGTGGCTCTGCATAACATAGCTTTTATATGTTTGGTGGAACTTAGTTGGATGGAGATCATGATTGTAACCTCAAGTATGAGATTAATAATGCTGAGATCTGTAAAAGTGATCAAGCTGGGTATTTATGAACTGTAACTCATAACTTTTTTGGTTTTTTTAGTTGCAGATTGAAATATCATGGACAGAAAATAGTTTGGATGATGTGTTTTGCCAGTGTGTCGCTGCAGTTTTGGTTTTAACAATGGATAAGTGTAAGCACATAGGACGTCTGCGACTGGCCCAAGATCACTCCATTCTGAATCCTCAGAAGTGGCATTGTGTGGACTGCAACACGACAGAATCCGTGTGGGCCTGCCTCAGCTGCTCGCACGTGGCGTGTGGAAGATACATTGAAGAACATGCACTAAAGCACTTTCAGGAGAGCGGTCACCCGGTGGCCTTGGAAGTAAACGAGCTGTATGTTTTCTGTTATCTCTGCGATGATTATGTTCTTAATGATAACGCAACTGGTGATTTGAAACTGTTGCGAAGCACATTAAGTGCAATCAAGAGTCAAAACTATGAGTGCACTACTCGAAGTGGGAGGACTTTGCGTTCTATGGGTACAAGTGATGATTCTTACCTTTCCCATGGTGGTGCCCAAGCCTTGCTTCGGAATGAAGATCGCATGTTCACAGCTCTCTGGCACCGACGGCGTGCGTTCCTGGGCAAAATATTCAGATCATGGTTTGAGTTGACACCTACTGGAAAAAAGATTTTGGAAGAAGAAAGGCGTCGGGAAGAAGCAGAGGAAAGAAGGGCCAAGGCTAGGAAGAGAAGACAGGAGCGAAAGCGTGAGTTGAAAGCAGAGATGGAAAAGATGCCTCCAAGAAAGAGCAGTCGTTTACAAAATCAGATTAGAATGTCCTCAGAAACAGCACCCTGCCTGCAAAAAACATCACAGAGTATCACGTCTGTGGCAGAGTCGAAAAAACCGTATACCTCAGATGAAGAAAGATTGAAAAAAATCAGTGACTCACCAATTAAACGAAGGCCCACAGTGACTCCTGGGGTAACAGGACTGAGAAACCTGGGAAATACATGCTATATGAATTCTATCCTGCAGGTATTAAGTCACTTACTTATTTTTCGAGAATGCTTTTTAAAGCTTGATCTCAACCAAACTCAGGAACTGCTGGCAACAGCAACTAATGGTAAAACTAGATCTTCATCTAAACACCTGTCAGTAGCTGCCTCAACATTACATGTGAATGAGAACCAGGAGAAAGTAAGGGGATCCTCTTCTGTGAGGCGGCCTAGTTTATCCTCTGGATTAAGTGGAGGAGCATCAAAAAGTAGAAATATGGAACTTATTCAGCCCAGGGAGCCCAGTTCAAAGCATATTTCTCTCTGTCATGAGCTGCATACTCTGTTTCAAGTTATGTGGTCTGGCAAATGGGCACTGGTGTCTCCTTTTGCCATGCTTCATTCTGTGTGGAGACTAATTCCAGCCTTCAGAGGATATGCCCAACAAGACGCTCAGGAATTTCTCTGTGAACTTTTGGATAAAGTGCAGCAGGAATTGGAGACTACGGGGGCCAGATACCCAGCTCTCATCCCTGCTTCTCAAAGAAAACTTATAAAACAGGTTTTGAATGTGGTTAACAACATTTTTCATGGACAGCTACTAAGTCAGGTATGTTTTATGATTATTTTTTTTTAAAAGTGTGTAATGATTTGTAGTTATGAACTGGTCAGTGACGGGCATACTTATAAATGTATTAACCTTTCAACTCCTGAGGGGGGGATAGGGAGCATATAATAAACACAGTTTCAGAAGAAAGGTCGTTTCTAAACCACAACAATACTCCTAAAACTTTCAGTAGACCAGTCACCTGATAAACATCAGTGTTAAATTTGGTATTTTAAAGCACACCTTAGCAACTACTGAGAAACGTCTGACATTTGCTATTAGCTAACTAATTTGCAGGAATAAAGAATTTACAATTATAAGCATCTAGCTTATCACTATAGTGATACTAGATAAAAGGTGTGAAGGAAGGTGTCAGTCTCGTCTAAGTGGAAATTGATTAGGTAATGGGTGCCAAGCAGGGTAATATTTCAGTAAATGGCTTGAATTTGAGATTCATTACTACAGAGTAATTGCCTGCCATGATGCTGTGTGTGGGATTACGAATACTTCTTTTTTGATACAAAGACATAGAAGGCTCTGTCAACACAGGAACCAAATTTGTGGGGTGGAGGTGACGGGTTGCTTTCCTTTTTTTCTGCCCGACTACTCTCCTTTTTCCTCCTTCTGGGCTTCTTGTTAAGTACTTCAGTGTGTCCATTTACTATTATGCATATCCCAACTGTGGGTGTGTACAAGCGTCTGAGAACTGGCTGAACAAACAAATGCTGTTTGAATTTATCTGAAAACTAACCAAATTGCAGCAGCAACAGGGGTTGAGAAAGTCTTAGCCCCCTGAAATTGGTCTTCATGGATGCATACGTTACTGAGGGAGTGCAGAAGCATTTAACGGGTACGTTGTGTGAAGGAGTAGAGGTTTAATACAAATTAACAAAAATGTGGATGTCTTTAGTATGTGAAGCTAGAAATCTAAGTGGCTTTTGACTATGTTAGGATTGTTTGTTGCTATGATATCTATAAACTTTATAATAAGGTAACAGTGCTTTTAAAACTAGGGTTGTTTGCCGCATGTTATAGCTTTTAGGTCATCTTAGATTTTGCGTAACTACTAGAAATTGTTGTATCTACTAATACAACCAGATCATCTTCTGCCTTTCATTTGGCCCTGTCTAAGAGCATTTCTGTTGGCATACTTCCTTTCCTTGGGGTAGTAAACCTATCTTGTATCAGGGTTGCGCTAATACCAGTGTCTGGTATATTACCTCATTAAAGCTTTATTTGAAAATCACATTCCTCTTCTGAATAGTACCTTTGTTACTAAAACAAAGTAATTGCTGAAGTATACTGACAAGGCTTGGTTGCAGTCTAAGCCTTCTTACAGGGGTCGCTTTTTGGAAGAATTTTCAAGGCTTTGAAGACACGACCATTATTTCAGTAGTACCACTTCTTTCACATGTTTTTTAGCTTTGTTATGTGAAGAGGCTTGTGACTAGAAACCCTCCCACCTTCCTGAAACCAAGGAGGGGAATAGTGAGAAGTGTCATCGAGTAAGACTGAAAGGGAATTAAAACAGTTTTGAGCCATCCTGTGACTTCTGTGACTAAAACACAGAGCTTTTTTACTGCAGCTGGTCAATGCCTGTATGCAAAATACAGCCTTGATGAACTTCAGAACACCTAGAGTGAGAAGAACAAGGAAAGGAGTATTGAGGCTGTTATCTGGAGTAGTTTGCCCCTGGCTCATTAGGCAGTTCCCACTGGCAGTGTCCAGCACTTTACCTTCTAATGTTCCCTTTGTCTTCTGCCACTCCTTTGTTTCAGTTTAGTCTTCACAAGCACTTCTGAACATAAGTATTAAAAGCAAAAGGTAACCTCAGAAGATTTACATTTCTTCCTTGATAAAATATATTGAGGTCCTCTTAATGATTCAGTCGCTGGTGTTTGCACACGGAAGTATGAACTTTAAAAACTCTAATAGGCAATTATTTTCCTCTCCTCAATAAGATTCCTGCATCGTGATTTTTGCTAGGCATTTGTCAGAACTGGCACGAACTGCTATAATAAAGTTAACAAAAAAGTCAAGGAAACATCCATACAGGGCCGAAGAAGAGTATGAGACTTCTTGCTATGTCATCACACCTTTGACAATGTTAGCTCTTAAAAAAAAAAAAAGAGGAGTGTATGCTTTGACCTTGTAGGCTTAACTTTATCTTAACTTTACCTACCTATAAGCTGTAACAGTATGGTGATTTATCTCTAGAAGATAATGGGAGCTGTAGCCTGCTGCTTTTAGATTTTAGTTTAGAGTATTTAATGAGCTACATCTTAATTCATTAATAAGGTGAATTGAGAAGCTTGTTCCTGTGTGCAGTTGCTTTCCATTTTAGTGTCACTAAAAAGTTATGCTTACTATTGAAAACGTTAGTTAAAGATATTTGATTCTGTGAGATACTCAAGTGCAGTAGAATCAATATTCTTGACCTTCAAACTTCATGAATGCTATGAACTCCTTTTGATACAGTACACAGAGGATCACTTACAATCCAGATAAGCTCTATGTTTACTTAGGTTTCACATGGCTTTCGCATGTGCAATAAAACATTTTCCCTTTTTTTTTTTGTAGCTGTTCTATTTTAACTTGAAGGGAAGTAATAAACTGGAGTGTGCAAGCAGTCTGTTGCTATTGAAATGGCTGCCTGTTTCAGCACTGGCACTGAATTTAGGATTAAGGAAAGAGAAGATTGGGTGTGAGAATCTTACGCAGAGTGCTTTTTGATAACTAGAAAAAGCTTTAGGTGATGTCTAAACAATTGCACATTTTATGAGTTGGTAGGTTTTGGTTTGTTATGTTCTCAGCTGATTTAAAGTAAGTCTTCTTCACCTACTACTTGAAATCTTTTACTGTTTTGTGGAATACTAGATTAGGTAATAAGTAACTCCAGGAATAGCGTGAATGGATTGCCTTTTGAATTTTTTAAATTTTTTTATTTATTTATTCCAATATCCTTTTTAGGGTTACAGCTTTTTACTCTGTGGTAAAAACTGTGAAACTTCAATACCCAGTACATCTAAGGGAAGTAAAGACAGGATATATAGCTACAAAACCCTTCCCCTCTGTTCTTTCCTTTTTCACATGCCAGTGTTCCTCCAGTGACTGCCCGGAGAAGGTTTTGCTGTAGCACTTATTGGGCAAAGGAGTCTGTATCTTGTAAACCTGTGTTTTCAGAGGCAGATCTGCTGGAGCAGTGGCTCATCCCTCTCAACCCCACTGAGACTGACAAGTAAATGCCAATATGTATATTTAAATCCCAGTTGTTTTCAGTCTCTCAGTGCTTGTACTCTTGTGGGAGGTACCCACCGTCTCCTGTCCTTGATCCGTCAATCGGAAAAGAGCAAAATACTGACTACACTATGAAGTTATGTGCTACTGGTAATCTGACCCATGCTGATCCACAAATCATTGAAGCACACTTCAGGAGCTCAAGGAGATTAGCCTCCATCTCAGAAATGGCCCATTTCTCCAGCCTGTCCTGCTCCCTCTGGAAGGCAGCATGACCCTCTGGTGTATCAGACACTCCACCCAGGTTTGTGTCATCTGCAAACTTGCCGAAGTTTTAACAGAATTGGCCCCAGTATCAACCCCTGGGGTACACTAGTAGTGTCTGGGATCCAGCTGCATTTCATGCTGCTGACCATGATGCGTTGAGCCTGGCACTTCATTTAGTTTTTAGTCCATCTTGCTGTCCATTTATTTAGCCTTCATTTAATCATTTTTTCTGTGAGCATGTTATGGGATGCAGTGTTGGAAGCCTCACTGAAGTAAAGATAAACAACATCCACTGTTTTCCACTCATCCACTGGTTATCTGTACCAGTCATCTTATTGTAGGAAGAAGGCTATCAGCTTCGTCAACTGTGATTTTCCCATCATCAGTCTTTATCTGCTCCCAATCATCATCCTATCCTTAATATATTTGGAAAAGATTTCCAGAATTATTTGCTCCATCAGCCTTCCCCACAGGTCTGAAGGTGATGCTGATTGGCTTGTAGTTCCTCAGAGCGTCCTTGAAGACAGGAGTGACACTTGCTTTCTTCCTGTCCTCAGGAACATCCCCTGATTGCCATGACCTTGCAATGCCATCAGCGAGCTCCTTTGTTCTTCTAGTTTAATCAGGGATAGTTTCTAATTCTAGGCAAGCAGTTGATATTTTCTGTTGCTAAAAAAGGCCCAGTAAGGGAGGAGAAGTAGTAAAGTTTGTGCTGACTTAGGTGAAAGCTGCTTGGGTGTGTAATTCAAGGAAGAAAATTAATGTTGAATTGTGAAAGCAGTGTTTTACTGAACTGGCGCATGTTGCAAAGCAGTAAATAGTTGTTGATGATTTCTTCAGAGTGCTGTTGACTAAATTCAAATTTAATGTAAACGATCAAAGAAATACCTAGCCAATGTAATTTTAACATCTTTTTGGAGTGGTGAGGAACCATTTAGAAACTGTTTTGTTTGGGATTTTGAAAAGTCTTTGTGAGGCTACCACTGCTTTTGAATCTGGGGCCTTATGTAAAGCTCTGCTGAGATTTCTGTTAAAGCAACACCCAACAGCAGTGCAAGTGAAGAGCAGTGCCTGTGCTGCTGTAGTAATGAGTTTCCTCTACAGCAAAGTTGTGATTAGTTACCATTTCTTCTTAGGACAAACCTGTCATCTCAGACAGAGTTTTTTCCCAGTAATTTACCATTTATTATAGCGTTGCCTAGTAAGAACTAGCTCTTGATATCTCTAGGCATACTTAAAAAAACCCCAACCAAGTGGTTTGATGACTTCCTGATCGTGTTTCAGATGAAATCTGAGCAAGGTGCCTCCCCCCAGCCTCACTCAGCACTGCAGAAGAACAGTGTGCAGAGAAATGAACATGTCAAGACCTGGAGAGTGAAGTAGGTTCTAGCCAATGTAGTAGGCAAACTACATATAAAGTTTTAAAAGGCAGCAATTTTCCTTGTAAGTCTTGCTTCATTTACTTACTCACCTGGTGTATTTCAAGACAGATTGTCTGAGAGAAGCAGAAATGTGCATTTTTTTTGTTTTTTAAAGCCGTTCGGTTTTGGGTAGTATGGTGCGAGTTAAAGTTTGAGGCAGAATGCTGGGGCTGACTATCGTGCAGTGCTGTATATTAAGTCTCACACTGAATGAGAAGTTCAGGTAGGTGATAGGAGGATTTGCACTTAGCCCCTCCATGACCTGTATGCTGATTTCTATATCCTGGTATTAGCCTCTGTGCATTTATATGTTGCCTGAATCACAACATGGTAGTCAAGTTGCCTTCCAAATAGATGAATGTGACATTTCAAAATAAGTTAATCCATAGGAAGCCATTGAATCACAGTTTGCTATCGTTATGCTTATGTTATTTGTTACACAGATACAGATGATTTTGATTAAGGTGTATGCTCATCACTACAAAGCTTAGTTATTTTTGTAACTGAATAACTACAGTGTGGACTGTCATGTGGAATTCCATATTATAGCAGCATCCTAGAAGTTCCCTTCTCTTTGATTACTTTGCTGTGGAAAAATTCAATTGCTACTCTTTCTATGTATGTCTCGTATAGAGAAAACTATACGTAGTGAAAGCACAAAAACAGGACTGGCCATCTTCCTATTCTTAAAAATCAAAAAAAAATTAGAGCAGAGATGGTAACAGTTGGCTTCTTCTGCAGCAATATGTTAACTATTTTCTTTGGCTGCATTTAGGCTGAATGCCATCCGGGGCAGTGGCTGTCCATCAAATTATTGTGGGCACAATGATGCTTGTCTGAGTGGCCTCCATGCTTAACTTGAATTAAGCAATTTGATCTAGCTCTTTCAGCCTGGCCTTTGGCCCGTGATTGAATGCTGAGCTGTAACCAAACAATTGTATATAGCACCCCTGTTCCAAGGCATGAGAGGGTCGTCAGGGCAGAACATAAGGTAGAGATTTCAGACTAGCTAAAAACAGTAATTTACTTTCTTTGCTCTAATGTAAGCTTCTCATATAGCTTTGTTATAAATGACAGCATTAAGGCTCCTTAAAATGGCAATTGTGGAATGTAAAGGGGAGGTGAAAGCAGACTCTGAATTGGTAAAATACAGTCATAAAAAGATAAATGTCACTAACCAGATTGCTCAAGCAAAGTCACTTTCCTGTTACTGTTGTGCATACTCACACCACAAAAAGTTACATTGGACAGATGCATAAAGTTTTTGCCAGCCCTTTGAGTTCATATTTGGGGATTTTTTGGTTTGTTTTTTATAAAAACCTCACATCTTGTTCAACCAACTTTTGCCCAGTTTGTACAATTTCAGTGCTTTTCATGCAAAAATAAAATCTGGCTCATGTTGTGTGAATGGTCGTGGAGCATGAGATAAAGGAGTCCCATTTGGGACAGAAAGAGGAGTCCTAAAGAGGAGGATGGGAGTGTTGTGACGCCTGTGCTGATGGACAGGCCAGTGCAAATGGATTCTGTGGAAGGGTAGGGACGCTCCTACTGGTTGAGTAATCCAAATTGTAAACTCAGGCCTGGCTGAGAAAACTGCTTCCAACCTTTTCCTCCAGCCCTGATTTCCCTCTCATCTCCCATTCGAGTGGGAGTGTGTGGAGGAGCAGTCAGCACACTGGGGCTGATAGGGTTGGGTGTGTGCTTGTCCAAATATGTCCCTTGGCTGTTGGCAAGTACACAAATCCCAGATAACTCTTCAGAGTTTAACTTTGCTGCAGCGTCACAGTGCGGAGGAGTGTCTTGCATTTGAGGAAATAAATCAGTACAGGGTTTTGTCAAAACAAACCAGCTTTGCTCACAATTGCACGATGAGATGAGAAGCAGCACGAGTTTCTATTTTTTTGGTTTTTTGAGGGGCAAAAATTGGAAGCTGGATTTTTTTTTTCTTTAGGGTAGTACTTATTAATTGGTTGAGAAAGAGGATATTAAAATAACCTAGATTGTTAACATTACACACTAAATTTAAAACTTCAGAAGTTGTTAAAATTATCTGTACTGAGTTAATATATGTACTTCCTCCTGAGCCCGTTAATCTTCAGCGTGCATTCATGTGCAACAAATTCTTAAGTAACTAGTCAATTAAATCAACTTTTGGCCCAACAAAATCACCCATTTGTACAGCAGAAATCTATTAGTCATTCTGTGTTTATGCTGGAGTTAGCTTGAACTGTGGCCAAACATATCATTTTGTCTCCAAGTCTAGATTCCAGCTCTGAATTACTAATAGTTTGTGGCTTTGAAACATTGCCAGATGTTAGCACTTACAAAAGAAGCTCCTGTCAATGTAAATTAAAACAGAAGATTCTCCTCTTTTCTGCCATGTAAGTTCAAAGTTGTGTTTTCTAAGAACAAGGTAGTGGTGTTTTCTTCTTAGAACTTAAAGCAGTGAACAGCTTTTCTAAAACTCCGTGGCTAAATGGTGTGCTGGTACACAAATGCACATCCTCATTAGGTAGCTAACATATAGATAGTGTATAAGCTGTTGTAGCTAATGAATGCATTAAATAATTACTCACAAAGAACACCTAGAGGGAAGGTACCATAAGGTGGCAGGTCTGTCCATACATATATTATGATGAAATACCAGACAAAGCAGGGTGAATACCTACGTAACAGCAAATCTGCAGAGGAAAATAAAGGAGCACTTGAACAAAATTGAGTGCATTTGTACTCCTGTGTAGTCTTACTAACCTGATTCAAGAGAACTACGCTGAATTTATGTAGAACAGCAACACAAAGGCGTGCCTGTGAAATAACAATATTTGGATCCCTCATGGATTTTCATTCCTTTATTATTACATCTTTGTATTACTTGTTCCAAAAAACTTGTGGTATTTTCCTAAATAGGAAGCACGCTTATAGAGATTTAATTTGACGATTATTTACCCTTGTGGTGCAAACTTAAGGACATATTTGATATTCCATTTACTGTAAAACATGAATGGTGGTGTCTTATCACACCTGGCTGTTAGAATTCTGAGCTGATAAATAGCAGTATCTTGACAGTTTGGTCCTATCTGAAAATTTTGAGTTTATTTTTTTGGTGGGAAAGTTTCATTGTTGGAGAAGGGAGTGGGAACATGTCAGATGCTTATGGAAGTTCTGTCAAAGCTATCCATCTGAGCCCAATAAAAATTCAACTTAGTTTTCATGCGTCTTTTCTAGAGCAGTGAGGTTAGAGCTGCTAGAGTAAGTGATCAACTGCAACTTATAAGCCAATAAATGCACTTAACAGTAGAAAACTCGGGTAATTACTCTTCAGGATTGTATTGTACTTTGTTGCATCGAACACACCAAGGTGAATATATCTTTAGTCACTCACACGCACTTGGTTTTTACTGGTGTTTCTGTATAGCCTTTATGAACTATGCTTGTTACAATCTAAATAGAGTTTCACAACTGCGTAGGTCAGCCACTAATAGATGTTGTTCATCCTAATGGATTGTGAAAGGGTGGAGGTCCTTTGGAGGAAGACTCAAATGATAGGACACTCTTCTATAAACAGCTTGAGCTGGCTTTTAGAAACTGCATTGCAAATCAACACCTAATGTGTTGTGTTCCAGCATAGAAGAGCTACTGCTTTTAACTTAACTTTCTTAAATATTGAATGTTATCACAAGTTAATTGTCCCCTGCTGAATTATCTGCATTTTCCAGGTTGACTCGCTTCACTTCTTGACATTTTATTTATGTTGTCTTACTGCTTGTCCTTTCCCTAGTGTGACGATGGATCCACTTACTGAAAGAAGAAATAAATTATTTTTACCTGTTACTTTTTCTTTGAAGAAGTGTGCTTCCTAATCCAGGCTTCCCTGGAAGACTTACAAAGTAAGAAGGATATGACTTTAAAATCCCCAGCTGTGTGTTGTGTTTTTGGTTTCATTTTGTTGTTCGTTGGTTTTTTTTGTTGTTGTTTATTTTTTTAATTAACCTAAACTATAGTTTCTCTCTTTCATGTAAATTTTCCTTTTGGTGTGTTTCTTTTTTTGAGAAAAGACTCCCGAGACTCCACCAGCTGCTTTCTCTTGGACAGTCCCAGACAGACCATTTTGACACCACTTTTGTTTCTCAGTAAAACATAAGAACACATACCTATTTGTGATAACAGTATTGGACATGCTGCTTCAGAGAAAAGAAAGGAGGTGTATCACTTCTTCTGTTGAATGACTATGTCTTTGGTTGCATCGGTTGTCTCCAGGGGAAAAAAAAATTAAAGTTTTTTAGAGTTATGTTATGGTACACTTTAGCAAAGGAAGTTTTTTGAGTGTAAGCAACTGGTGAAATATTGTGTTTTACAGGTTACATGTCTTGCCTGTGACAATAAATCAAATACCATAGAACCTTTCTGGGACCTATCCCTGGAGTTTCCTGAGAGGTATCACTGCAACGGCAAGGAGATGTCGTCTCAGTATCCATGTCTGCTGACAGAAATGCTGGCCAAGTTTACAGAAACTGAAGCTTTGGAAGGAAAGATATATGCATGTGATCAGTGCAACAGTGAGTAAAGGCAGTATGTACTCATGCGTACGTTCTCTGTGTAAAATATAAAGTAAACTGATTGTAAAAGTGTGGAAGGAAAATACTAAAACTCTCAAAAGTATGTTGCAAATGAAGTCCTGGTGTGGCCACTTGACAGCTATTACTCACCATCTAGCAGGTGGAATTATTCAAAGGATGTTTTAAAGTGTGATGCTTCTTTTCGATAAAGGAAGATCACACATTAATAGGGATTCTGATACTCCCAGCTGAAGAATCCACCAGCTTTTTAAATTAAGGTGACTAACCTAAGTGACCACAGGTATTTTATAATTGCATCATAAAATAGTCCTTGCAAAATGGCTCTGAGTGTAGCCTTTTTAAGGATACTCAAATTTGGTGGATAAATCTTAGAGTGAGACACAAGGCTGTTATCGAGATTTGTATTGTGTAACTGTGTGTTATGCCTCAGCAAAACGAAGGAAGTTTTCTTCTAAACCAGTTATACTCACAGAAGCTCAGAAGCAGCTTATGGTGTGTCGGCTACCTCAGGTTCTCAGATTACATCTTAAACGGTTTAGGTAAGTAGTACCACAACAAACTGACCAGTTCAGTCCCGCTCTTCTGTTGTTTGGGGTCAGTGTCTTTCAGCTTCGCTGTCATTTCCCTTTACAATGAGAAATAGTTATTTAAACATCACTAAGACACGCTATAAATAGTGAATTGATCTTTTGGATTCCAACTACTTGCTACTTTAACTACTTGCTACTTTAATACTAAAATTATTTCATCCTTCTTTTCCGTCAAAACCTTCTAACCTCTCTGTGAAATCTGTTGATAAAAATTAATCTTGTGTTATCTTCAGGTAGAGCAAATGCTCATTTTCACTAATGTGCAAACCAAGATTGTGTTCAGTGGAAATCTTAGATAAGCTTCATATTACCAAACACATTAATGGATTAGCCTGAGTGTAAGGAAGTGGAGACTGCATCTATGTCAACTCTTACCCACACATTAGTGCAAAGTCTGTCCTGAATACAAAGGAAACTGAAAATGAGATAGAACAAATGAGAAATGCCAATGAGATATAATACGTGGGAAGTACTTCCCACTCACCATTATACAGATCTTAAGATGAATATTTCAAAAGATGAGAATAGTAGGTACCATAAAAACATTTTAAAAAGTCTTGAAATAAAGAAGTGAAAGAGGAAGTCTAGGAAAAAAGCGTGCAAATTAGCATTTATTTTGTGCACAAAGATAATAGTGAAGATAACACTTGTTATGTTAAAACATAATTCAGAATGCTGTGTTATTTCTTCGAAAAACATGTAAGTTTTCATTTGACTTAACTTTCCAGGTGGTCGGGACGCAATCATCGTGAGAAGATTGGCGTACATGTTAATTTTGATCAAATACTGAACATGGAACCTTACTGCTGCAGAGAATCCCTCAAGTCCCTCCTACCTGACTGCTTTATCTATGACTTGTCTGCTGTGGTGATGCATCACGGGAAGGGCTTTGGCTCAGGGCACTACACTGCCTACTGCTACAACTCAGAAGGAGGTAGGAACCAGCTGTGAAAGAAAGGGGTGTTGGTAATTCTAAACTTATCAGCTTGCTCTCTGTTCTCAAACGCAGAAGGGAATTGCCTGGAGTGAGAATTGCAGTTCTGCAGACCAAAACAGTTAGAGTTTTGTATTGGCTTGTTCAATACAAAAATTGTATTGAACAATTTATGAGACTTTACAGATAGAACATGTCTGTAAGGTCTTCGAAATCTGAGGAAGTATCCTGGTTTCAGCTGGGATAGAGTTATCTTTCTTCCTAGTAGATGTTGTATTTTGGATTTAGTATCAGAATAATGTTGGTAACATACTGTTTTAGTCCTTGCTAGGTAATGCTTAGATTAAGTCAACGACCTTTTCAGCTTCCCATAGAAGCTGAGAGGGAGTATAGACAGGACAAGCTGGCCAAAGGAGTATTCCATACCATAGATGTCATGCTCAGTGTATAAATTGGGGTTGGCCAGCAGGCAGGGATCACCAGTCGCTGCTTGGGACCAGCTGGGCAATTGATCATTGGGCAGTATTGCATCACTCATTTTGTATATTCTTTTATTGTTTTTATTACTGTTAGTATCTTCTCTTCCATTATTCTTCTGTTAAACTGTCTTTATCTCAACCCATGAGGTTTCCTTTTTTCCCAATTCTCCCCCATCCCACTGTGAGGGACAGAGTGAATGAACGGCTGCATGGTCCTGGTTGCCACTTGGGGCTAAACCATGACAAAAAACTAAGGTGGGGTTTTAAAATGTAGAGGCAAATATAGTAGATCAACTGAAATAGTATAGAATTTCTACACAACTTGTTAAATAAGACTCAGTAATTAATTATTAAATACAATGCAATTACCTCAAATCAGCGTCCTGATAACTCTTTTTTGTGTTTATTTCTTCACTGCAGGATTTTGGGTACACTGCAATGATTCAAAACTCAACATGTGCACTATGGAAGAAGTATGCAGGGCTCAAGCTTACATTTTGTTTTACAGCCAACGACTTACTCAGGCAAACGGACGTGGCAAAATACCATGTCCCAGCACAGCTGAAAGTCAGGAGCACACAAAATTAGCTGACTGTTCCATGGACGACAGTAGCAGCTAATCCAAAGCCAGTTAACTGCGTGTGGTAAAAGTTTGAATTGTCATAACTATATATTTTTAAATGAAAAGTACAGTATTGTACTTTTTTTACTTTGAATCAGTGTACAATGTTTATATACTTTTGTATTAGTTAAAGTACTCTTTACAATTGTTAGTAAAAGTTTTTATTGACAGTAAGTAACCTAGAATTTCAATACAGCTATTTTTTTAAGAAAAAGATTGCTATTTGCATTTAACTCTTACCTCAGGCTGTTTTTTAAAGCTGGTTTTGTATTTTGATAATCTTTTTGAATTGGTTTAGAAAAATGACTTTCGATGGGCAACTGATGTTTCTCTGGTTAATTTTCTATATATGCTTCTGTACATTTTATAGTATAGTTTTAATGATATCATGATTCTTACTGTCTGCAAGAATTGCTACTAGGTCTTAGAATATTAACATTCACCAGCAAGGAATGTTTTACATGTCAAATAGCAACAGAAGTTCTTGTAGGAAACTTTCTGTATATTCTTCACGACTAAAGTGAAATTATTTTGCAAGCTTCAAGGGAGCTACACTAAAGATACATTGATAGAATTTCTTACAATCTGAAATGGAGCAAGTGGAGCATGTACTTGCAAGTATGTAAGAGGAGTGTATAAAAACACAAGACTCTCTTTACCAAGACTTCCATGTTTTAGCCTTAACAAGTCTGACAACTTAAAACTCAAGTGCCAAATTCAAAGTACTAACTTTGACAATGTGGGGCTTTTTATTCCAAAACTTAAAAAGCTTTCTTAAAATACAGCCCCTTAACAAAAACACACTCACCCACCCCACTGTCATTGCTACAAGAAAGAACATTAGCACCCCCTTACTTGCATTGGGCAAACTTAAATCGTAGCTGGTGTCATCTGTTTCAGTAATCTCTAACATAAACCACTGAAAAGAAGCTGTAAAACTTGTATGAAAGCATGTTTCAATCTGCCTGGTTTCCTTACCTCCAGCTGCTGGACCTTCTCCACGGTCCCCGCCACTAGCGATAACAGAACTGTGCATTGAGGAGGATCTAACAAGCAGGAATTATCAGTCTCCACATATTGTAGTTGATGCCAAGTAAATTTTAATTGTGAAGTTATTTTGCATAAGTCTTATGCAAATTGTTACCTCATCTTCTGCAAAGTTTATACCTCAATAAATGGACAGAAAACCACGTGTATACTGGAATTAGTTCCTACATTATCATGACAATATTTTATTTTAATTATTTTAAAACTTTGTCTAACATGGGTTAAGGCATTAACTATAAGACTATTTTAGCCATCTGTCACTGATTTAACAGCTCCTTTTATTCCTGACTTATTTCCTATAACTTCTGTGTTTCTGAAAGATGCCACATTATAGTGAGCACATAGTGCCCTCAGATCCCAAACTTCATTTGCCTTGCGCTCATCCTAATTAAGTGAGCAAAAGCAGTTTAGTCCTTGTTTTGTTTGGGTGGGTTTTTTTAAGCCAAGGGCCACCTGCTGAAGTGAGATGATCTAACAAATCTACTTGTTATGGCCATGCAGTCTTCAAATACTTTCCTTTTCCGCTGTTCCATCTGGTGAGGACAAGTCTGTTACAACAGAAGAGACCCAAGCAAAACCCAGCTGATGATGGTTCCAGAGTTCCAAGTTCTTTGCCTGAAAGACTAATCACGTAAAAGCATCTCATAAAGCCATAACCTCTGTCTCCCTCTACTCTCCACTTTCATTGCAATCTACATTCAGAAAAACAGGTTCAGGTTGAAGGAGCTGCTCTGCTGCTACCTTGCTCCAGCCCAGATACCTGCTACCTGATCACCCAGAGCTCCACATTCTGCCCTTGCTGAACTTCCTCTCCTTGCACAATCAGTGCTTGTAGGAACTCGGAGAAGTCATTGTGCAGCAATTACTGTTAATGAAAGGTTCAGGACCCCCTCACACACAGGGTAACACTCCGAAAGTAGTAATTTACCAGCCAACCACAGGGTGAACACACATGGACTGTCACTCAAGACAGAAACATTTCCAGTAATTAGAGTTTTATATGCATTTGTGAGATGACTTGTGCTATGGCATACCTTTGAGGAGAGTGCTGAGAGCAAAAGGGGCCTCTGGAGATTGTAGAGTCCAGCTCTGCTCAAAACAGGGTCAACTGGAGCAGGTTGCTCAGGGCTGTGGGCAGTCAGGTTTTCAATAGCACCAAAGATGGAGACACCACAACCTCTGCAGGCAGCCTGTGCCAGTGCTATGCCAGCCTCACAATACAAACACTTTCTTCTTCTGTCTCAGTGGACCCTCCTGTCTTTCAGTTTGTGCCCGTTTCCTCTTGTCCTGTCACTGGGCACCACTGAGAAGAGCCTGGCTCCATCTTCCTTACTCCCCCCATCAGATATTTAGATACATAGATAGTATCCCCTTGAGCTTTACCTTCTCCAGGCTGAACGCCCCCAGCTCCCTCAGCCTCTCCTCATGTGTCAGATGCTACAAGCCCTTCTGTTATCGTCCTGGCCCTTTGCTGGAGTCACTCCAGTAAGTCTGTACCTTGTACTGGGAAAGGCAGTACTGGACCCAGCCCTCCCGCTGTGTCTCACAAGGGCTGCCTAATGCATCCCTGAAGACTGCTTCCCAGCCTGTACTGGTGCCCGGGGTTATTCCTGCCCAGGTGCAGGACTCGGCATTTCCCTTTAGTTGAAGTTCATGAGGTTCCTGTTGACCCCTGTCCCCAGCCTGTCTCTGTCTCACTCCCTCTGGGTGGCAGTGCCCCCAGCTGGCCCACCAGTCTCTTCTCCTCACTTTGTGTCATCTGCAAACTGGCTGAGCACAACTGACACATCAGGCAGGTCAAAAGTATTTTTCTTAAACTGAAAAATAAAACCATTTTCCAGTGCCAGATGGTAACAGATACATTCATCCAGACAGATTATGTGTCTTCACTTTTATCTAGTGGTAACCAAGGCTTCTGTACAGCTCTCCCCACTTCAAGGGATTCAGAGATTTGGCCTTACTGAGAAAAACTGTTACCTTCAAAAACTGGGGAAGCAGACACCTAAAGCCCTGAAACAGCCAGGCAAAAAGCTTCCTCTTCATCTCAACTGCTGACTAGTCTAAAAAAAACCCAACCAACCTGTGTAAAGTACTGCAGCTTTGCAAAACAAGAGGGAAGTCAGCATCAGTACAAAAGCAAAAGTAAAAATCTCCGACTTTTAGCCTTAGTTACAAGAGTTGGGTGACTTGTCATGACAACACCACAAATCAAAAATCCTGAGTGAATCACAGCACAGTTGTCTTATTTTTTTTCATTTGCTTTAAAAGTACTCAAACATTTCAGTTTATAAAAATAGAACTGACTCCATGGAGAAAAAGACATACTATTGAAAAAAATTCCATGGTGCTGTTCTCACATTACATTGTCTTTATCCCTAAACACACCTTCATAAAACCAGTTGGCAGAAACATTATTTTCTGAATGGACTTAAGGAAATACACTGCCTGCCTTTGCTCATGGGCAGCTGATGTACCAAGGAATGCCAAGTACCAACAAGCTGGAAGTGCAAAATCCCAGCAAATTATTAACCATAAAAAGCCTAATTCTCTTCTTCCTTCCTGTAAGAAAAACATTTGAAAGAAGTAGGACTTGGCAAAGTTGTTTTACCTCCAACCACCACCTGTAGAAATCAGATTAACAAATTCCAGTCATGTTCACGTATTATTACATCATTAAGTTTCTGTGATACCATCTTACCCTGGTTTTGAACTTTTAATGCTATACGGATATTATTTTAATACACTGAAAGTAACTGGAAGTTGGAAGACACAATAGCAGCTTTCTCACTGTAACAGCAACTTCACCTCCCTCCCTCGATGCCCTGTTTTAGCCTCCTCCTTGAAAAGTTAATTATACTCACCCTTAAAACGCCTGCTCCCTTGGCAGCCAGGCTGTTCCACAGCAGCTTCCACAAAGGTAGAACTTACTTATTTCACAGTCAAGAGCCTGAAGCAGAAAAGTAAAAGTCCCTAGGGATACACCTTACAGTCACTTCTTAGCACCAAGTTTATTTCCATTTTTCATAAAATCTTCCACTGAAAAGGGAAAACCCTGCTCTTTCTAGTAAGGTGGTATTTTAAAGCCAAAATGTCAAGTGCAAAACTCCCAAGGAAATCTACCAAGAATACACAAGCGGAAAAATAGCTACAAACAGGAGCCCTGTGACTCTGAATGCTGCTACCTCTTTGATTCAAGCACAAGCAGCAGAACCTGGCCTTTAGCTGGAAAGCCCCTGTAGTTTTAACAATATTTTTTATATTCTACAAAGCACCCTCCCACGCTGCAGGAGCTTTGAAAAACAAAGACGACCAAACCCATCCCTCCACTCAAGCCTCCCGCTTGCTGGCTGGCAGCCTTTGCATCCACCAGCCCCCTTCTCCACATCCCATACATTCACCCCAGGCCTGGGGTGCTGCGTGGTCCTGTGCCCAGCTCCAGACCCGGGCCATGCTGCCCAACGCACTGCTTTCTTGGCAACTGCTGGAGGCTTTCACCTAAATTCTAACACAATAGACCTTTTCTGGCTTGGGACAAAGTCAAGCTCATTTCACGTTTGCAAGCTACAGTTAAAAGTTTCTGCCTCATCCTGCTCCTTTCGTGTGGGCAGAGGGGCCAGGATTTAAACAGTTGAACAACTTGGGAAAGCAAACTCACGGTGCCTGCTGCGAGCACAGGTAAACATGAGACAATTTGCTATTTTACAGTCAGAAAACTAGCACATGGAATTAACAGAACACTTATTTGAGTTTGAAGAGTTATTCAGGCGATCAAACAGCAAGGAAAAAAAAAAAAAAACAACCCAAACTCAAACCCCGCATCTGAGAGTCTAAAATTAGTCCCCTGGTTTGGAAAATCTTAGGCCACACCTTCATCAAGAGCACAGATCATGAGGTCCTGCTGTACATTCTCTAATGACATGTGTGTCTCATGGTCTGCATGAACAAAAAAATCCTACAAAGTAGGTTCTGAACTCTCTACTTTGGCACCTCTAGTAACTGTATTCTCTACAAAAACTATCGCCATTTTTTGGTGCTGCACATACTCGAGAAACAAGACAATCCCCATCTTCTAGACCTTTGAGAAAGACAGACTTCAGTATCTGGGTCAAAAGTCTTTGATAAACTTTTGATTGTGTCAAGTGACAAGACAGTACAGTCCAGTTATCAGACAGCGTGGCCGGGACTTGATAACTACACTTCCAGCAACAGGAATGGGCGACCTAAAAAGCATGAAAGCAGCAGAGGAATTTCTTTTTTTTTTTTAAATGTAAGGAAGTTGTAGAAATAGGGCTTATCTTCCAGACTGACAGGTGTAAATGGTCAGCAGGATGGTCAGTAGCACAAGCAGCAGGTATCCAGATAATCCCAATTAAATCTAATGGCAGCAAATGATCATCACATTCTCAAAGTATTTTTCTGAGGCATTTCCTCTACTATTTGCTATGCATGATTGTCAGCTTCCGTATGTGAATTAGCACACAGCCAGGAAGTTAAGAAGTTAAGAGAACAGGCTATAGTCCAAAGTAGCTCTACTTTTCTGGATCTTCCTATTTTGTTCAGGTAAAACAAAAGACAAAGGGAGGAAAACAAATCATTGATCCGTAAAATTAAATGTTCCTGAAGTAACTATCAGGAAGATTAAAAAATCCTGAGGCTGTAGGAACAGTATGGAATGCCACTGAGCTACCAACAGACTACCTTTCTAGAAAGCAAAGTCTGGAATTAGTGGGTAAGAGGCTGAGACCCAAAGCAGATTTGTCTTACTTGTTTCTGGCAGTATTTGTAGTAACCGGGCTTGCTACCAAAATAGGGTGAGCTGGAAACCATTAACTCTGCCCCGTTCATCCCAGATCCTTTCAAATGCCAGTTCTTCCTTTGCAATGCCCAGGCACGTACACCAGCTACTGTTTGTTTGGAAGCTGAGAGACACATGCCCACACAGCTGCATAAATTACTTAACATTCATTGCTGGGATGCCAAGACTCCCAAACAGCAACAACGGGAATACACATCAGTATCCCATTTCAGCCATTTCTAGAAGCAGCAACAAGATTAAATAATACTTACAAACAGGAAAAAACTCACTGATGTTTAATACTTTTAAGGCAGCATGTGACACTGCCCCCCTCTAAACTGCAGTTCACACACC